GTTCTAGCCATTATCCATGAATGGTGCAATGAGGTAAAGCTTTCTATCAATCATACCAAATGTACCGCTATCGTTTTTCCAAAGGGTAACCCACTCAAGAAAGGGCCCAGCATCAAAATAAGCGGTAAAAAGATCCAAAACTCAACTGCAGTCAAGTATCTAGGGATTATCCTCGACCATCGGCTAAACTGGACCGACCACGTACATCACATCTACGAAAAGGCTACCAAAGTAGCCCAAGCGCTCAAAACGATAAGCAGAAATAAATGGGGCTATGGTCCCTCGGCGAGCAGGATTCTCTACACCGCGGTTGTTGAGCCCATTATTACGTACGGGGCAGAGATCTGGGGCTCATCGGCTACGAGGGTCCACATCAAACGTAAGCTTCTCTCCATCCAAAGGCTGTCGGCCATAAACATTGCCAAAGCCTACAAGACAGCCCCTACAGAGGCCCTTCTTGTCCTCAACAACACTCTCCCTATTGACCTTAAGATCAGAGAAGCAAATATAAGATATAATTTGCACAAGTTAGCTAAAGGGGAGATAAATCTTGAGACCTTCAGCACCGCTACTTGCAAAGAGACTTACAACAATGAAATTAACCAAATTGCGATGCACGTCACCACCTACGGCCTTGACAAACACAAGGACCTGCAGTACATCCACCCAAGCTTCACCAGCATTCAAAGTTCAATACACGATCCAATAGATAAACACTCAATCAGCATTTTCACCGACGGATCGAAATCCGAGCTCGGCGTTGGCTGTGCATTCACAGTCTATAAGGGAACCCAGTGTCTCTACCAGAGGTGCAAGAAATTAGCACCTCACTGCACGATCAATCACGCCGAGTCTCTGGCTATCCTGGAAGCCATTACCTGGATTACAAACAACCACAATACAGTGAATCAACACAACTACCAGATCTTCAGCGACAGTCGAGTCGGCATACACCAAATAGCCAAGTGCAACACCAATCTCCCTATCATAAGAGACACCGTCAATAGTATCCGTGCCCTCAGGAACAGAGGCATTAACATAGACTTCCACTGGGTCAAAGGGCACTCAGGGGTTGCGGATAATGATAGAGCGGACCTTCTTGCCTCCAAAGCACCAACTTTAGCAACTAATATCTCCTACAATAGAATTAGCATCACCCATCTCAACAATCTGTTGCACGATATTATTCTCAAAACTTGGAAATCCAGATGGGATAATGGCAATACAGGCAGGCTCACCCACCGCTACCTCCCTTCTCCTTCGGACTGTCCTAAATGGAATTTCAATACCACCTTCCAGCTAACACAACTGTTAACGGAGATGGTAACTTTAATTCTTACTTGCTGAGGTTTCTAAACAAAACTGACGGCAAATGCACTTGTGACCTCAACGAAGAAGAAGACCCCAAGCACCTAATCTTCCGCTGCCCACTCTATATAGCCCAACGAAAGAAACTCAGGAATGCTATCTACAACAAAGGACAACTATGGCCGTGTGACCTTCGTACGTTTTTTAGCGACAAGGACATCATCAATGCATTCAAAAACCTTGCCACTGAAGTTAATAAACTCAATTAATCTGTTTTCCTTGTTCGCATATGGTCACAATCTTCGAGTATTTGTATATCCCATTATCTCAGCTGTTAACAAAAATTGTTGCGCATTCCTGGCTAAATGCCAGCCTTGTACATAGTCTTATTTCACTTATACTGTTTATTTAATATTTTTTGCTTAATGTCTTTTGTCTTTTAATAAACCGGTAATTATTGTCGCGTATATATGCTATATTGTACCACATTTACTAATTCTGTATTGTAATTGTATTTGTATCTGTATTCTGATCTAATTTAATAAATGTAATGCAAGATCTCATGGGCTTCCCTTCCCACTATCCTATCTCCCTTACTTTAATGTTCATCTACTTACCTTCTTGCTACATTCTTCCTTCCTCTTATTGTCTAAATGGCTATACCTCTGAGTACAACCATTTCTTTCTTAACTCTATGCTAGAGCCGCCACAAACTAGGGCTTTGTGAGAGCAAAACGCTAGCAAACGTTCGCTAGTACAACCGATGACGTCAAAGGCTCCGCCCCGTCTTCTTGCCCGCGCTGGTTTTCCTTCGCTAGCGCAGCGATACGAGAGTAGGCTCGCTGTTCACAGAATTCAACAACTAGAGCATTTACGCTAGCAAGAGAGGACGGGGAAAATGGATGACAACGTAAACATGTCACATATCGAAAAATAAATTATAGAATTTTATCGATGTAAATTACATAATTAATACATTCAGTATTGAAAAGAAAATAGTATAAACTTTGTATGTAAATAGTTTTCGGCTAGTTAGGCTTAACTAGTAGGCCTGTTTTTCCCATGCTGTTTCAAAGTTCGGAATGAAAACTGACTGATTAGAAGTATAGGTTATAATAAAATCTTGTTCTATAGCCAATCCACATCTGTGAAATCCACATCATGAGGACTATTATAAAAAAACAAGAGGGATTCCACACTGACACAGTTAAGAGAGCTTTTAGCTTCTGAACATGGAATCAACATCACTTGTAAGTAGACTACATTTTATTTGTTGTGGGCTAGTATATTTAGTAATACAATTTGGTTTAATTTGCTCAATTAGTAATACAATACAGTCTGTAACAAAACTATAAAAACACCAAAAATTTTGTGTTTTTTTAAAATCTATTTAAATTTTTTTAATAGAAAACTGTTTTATATGTTTTAAAACAATTACAAAAATATCATTTTCAAAGCTTTTTATTTTTTAACAATAATATAATAGACTATATTACAGTTTTCACTTTACTTGTTACAAAAGTATACATACACTTTCTAAAATTACATAAAATTAATTTTTAACACTTTGAATATTTAGTTTCACCCCCTTTGGCTACAATTACTTGAAAAATTCTGTTAGGCATAGAGTTTATTAATTTTTTAAATTATTCATCCCACGCATCTATCATTGCAATTTTCGATTGATTTATACATTCATATTGATTCCCTTTTTTTATAAACAATGGCTGCTAAAATCCCTCATAAATTTTCAATGGGATTTAAATCTAGACTAACAGTCAAATCTGGAAAGCCAGTCAATTAAGTCAATATTTTCTTTTATAAATGAATATTTTGTTTGCCTTGAGACATTAATGGGAACATTAGCTTGTTGAAACTTCCATTTATTACATTTGGAGCATTAATTGCAGGTCGTCATATTATTATACAATAATTCTTGATACTTTTCTGAGTTCATATTTTCGTCAACAAATACTAAATCAGTTTTACCTCCCCATCCAAAACCACCCAAAATCATTACAAACTCTTCCCCTTGTTGCAAGCTTATTTTAACTCTGCTTTCTCTTCTTAAAACATGCCAATAATATGAAAACTCATCAGAGCCATCTAAATTAAACTTCTCATCACTAAACATTATTTCTTGCCATTCAGTCCATCCCATCTCGTCTTTAGCCCAGTTTAAACGCATTCATTTGTGTTTGGCAGTTAAAGGTGGTTTCAACTTCATTTTTAAAAAACAATGACAACGTAAAATATTTAAAGTTCTCCAAACAGTCGCAGGAGATACATGTACTGGTAATCCAGCAGAAGCTTGCCTTGTTGACGTGTTTTTATTAGTTATTTGGAATTTGCCTCAGAGACTTGCCTGAGCCACTCAAATAATAAATTTTATGTATTTCATGCTCCTGAAGTACAGTTCTACGAGGCATTGTTGAAAATGTTTTTATAACATTCAATGAAACATTCAAAAAAGTTACCATGACAGGTAAAGTGATGACATCTCACCTTAGTTGTGATAATTATTATTATGATAAAATAATGTTTTAAAAGACTTTTAAGTGGAGTACTGTACCTATACTTTTGTAAAACACATCAAAAAATGAATATTTGTGAAAAAAAATGTATGCTGCTTTATGAAATGTGAAAAACCTGATAAAATAATGATATAAATAATAATATTTCCAGTAATAATTTCAAAATAAATTTTGAGAAAACACAAAATTTATAGTGTTCCTATACTTTTGTTATAGACTGTAATTTAAAATCACTGCAATTATGTTTAGATGATGTCAGAAATAAATTATAGCCTATATAGTATCTTGCATACATACACAAGGCATGTTTGTCACAGTGATAGCAGCATTTCCGAATTATATGCTTACATTAATGTATATGATACAGTAGCCAATATACATGTATGATGTAATAGGCTATAATCTATTCAGTCATATCCCAATTTTCAAACTGATTGTTTAGCAAAGTGAAAATAACAACTTAAACATTCCCATTATAATTTGCAGCAAACAAGATCCTTAGCCAAAAATTTAAACTTATGAAAAATGCATACAAGAGGGAACTATAAAGCTGCAGAAATCAAAGTCATCTGGAGTGGGCATCAATAATGTGCACAAAAAATCAGATTTCTGCATTTCAACCAGATGGCTTACCTGAGGGACTCCATGCAGGCAGATAAAAGTGAGGATACCATCAGCCTCAGCACCTCCCTTGAAAATGTAAGTGCAAACATAATGTAGGCTATATAAATGTATGGTATAATGGTGGCAACAGTATAGTTGCTTACCTAGAACATTGATTGTCGCCTTGTACCAGTTATGGATGATTTGATGTATGAATATCACATTCTAACATGGTCATTAGACATGTACACTACAACATGTAGTGCACATGTCTTGATGCAGTGCTTGTTTTGATTTCAGGACAAGTGTAGTCAACCCATAGCTACAGAAGAAAGAGAAGACTCGATGTGTACTGAAGAAAGTGAGTTCCAAGAGCTATCTTTTGCCATAAATAAAAGCATGGGGCCAAATATCCCAGCAAGTAGCTCTATCTCAGGAATTTACTCAGTAATGCCAACAACATCGACATCAACATCAAACAGCCAGCCGTCTAGTCTCCATCCAACAGACGATGGAGTTACAGTTGGAGGACGAGAGAAAAGAAACCGACAGAAGACATTGCATGTGTCATCTTCCTCTCTTAATTTCAAGCTGTATAAAAGGGCTGTAGACTACATGGCAAACAAGCCCAGCAACCCCCCAGCATGTATAGAACAAAATTTTGGTAACCACGTCGCCCTCAGTTTAATGAAAATTAATGAAGACTTGCGGGAAGAAGCAAAATATGAAATACAGTGCATTTTGCTCAAATAATACAATCAATCAAGAGCCAATTTTTAAAGCAATAAATGTTTGTTTTATTACATTATTTTTAATTCTTTTAATTGTACATAAACAATATCTACACAAAACGATGTTGCCAGTAAACGGCACCAACATCGGACATGAAAAATGCTTTAAAGTTGTCCCTTACAGCTTTTGTCTCTGAGCTGTAAAAGTTGGAGTAGGTGGTGGCCACTTGTGGAAGATGTATATCTGTCCCGGGCTGTACAGAAATCTCACTCCTCCATGCACTAGGCACAGTGATACCAGTTTCCACATCTCTGTCCACATAATTGACTGGCCATGATACTGTGTTTTCATGGCTCCTTAAAGAGTTGTGAAGCGCACAACCAGCAAGTATTAATGTGTGCACTTTGTCTGGCTGCAACAGTATGGGATTCAGGAACACCTGTAGTCTATTTGAAAAAATTCCAAGAGCTGTCTCCACTACTTGGCGGCCACATGAAATTCTAAAAACTATTAAAGTATATGTTTAATCCAACTATTGCTCTATCAATTTTCCAAGATCACAGGTTTTTTTTTATTATACCATCTACCCTTTTCCTACTGGTATAATGCTGCAAGATGCAGTTGCATTAGCCACTGAATGCTAACCTGTAATTGCATATCCGTTCTTCCAGAGTCAAATCATTTCCACCATAAGGTTTGAGGATATACGGTTTCAAGCCAAAAGCATCCTTGGCAAAGAAGACATATGGGGTGAAAATGTCTTGACCTGGAAGAGAATGAGCTGGAGGTATGTCAAGAGCATTTACATCTACAAGCTCCTTTAAGTTGCATTTGTTCCACACACCTCCATCGCTGATCCTCCCTTGTGTGCCAACATTAACATATCTAGAAAATCAAAATAAAGAAAATGCTTTTAGCCCTTGGTATAGTTAAATTAATTAAAAATCTACTAATTATTATCACTTGTTTTCTATTTTGATATACACATTATTGTTAACAAGGCATTGAAAGTCCAAAATAGACTTGTTTCTTACCTTCTGCACATCAACTTACCGAAATGTGTAATTTGCATCCACAACTGCTAAAAGAACAATTGATTCAGTCCCTTTGTAATTATGGTAATGAGAACCACTGTTGATGGGCTTCCTCATCACAATGTGCTTTCCATCAATGGCTCCAAAACAATGAAGCACATTCCACCGATCTTGAAAGTGCTTGCAATAGCCATCCAATGTTCCTTTAATGTTACCATTTGAAATGTATATTTTAGGGTCTCGTACAAAGCGGCACATGTTTCCATGACTATGTAGGATATCGTTCTTTCACCAATTCTGAATTTTCAAAATAAAGTGGATTAGATCCAAATTCCCATGTAAATGCTGATAATAGGTTCAAAGTTGCTAGTGATAGATCAATGGCAATGAATGTTCTTGTTGAGGCATGGAAGTATGTCACTTCTCCCATATTAAATAAATACAGTTGCTGGTTGCCTATAAATCTTTCAATGGTCCTGCCTCGACAATTAATGTCAAGACTGCCCCACATAGAATTATGGCCATTGAAATCACCTAGTAAACGAAACGGAGTAGGCAACTGTTCAACCAAAGCATCCAATTCATCCTCGTTGACTCTGACATCTGGTGGCAAGTATATAGAACAAACTGTGACAGTTACTCCAATTGAAATTCTGACTGCCACAGCTTGCAAATCAGTTGTTATTTGTATCGGCACAGATGGTATGTGATTTAAAACTACAATAGCCACACCTCGCACTGGCACGGTTGTGGCTATCATCATCCTTGCGGTAGAGATCAAATCCCTTTAAAATAGTCCTATCTCCAGGTTTTAAATGTATTTCCTGAAGTGCCACACAGAGAGGTGAGGTATATGATGTCAAGTGTTTAACGTCAGAGAAGTTGTTCCAAAAACCACGACAGTTCTATTGGATTATAAAATAATCCATTATGTGTTAGAGGCAGCAGTCTTTGCAAAAGTGTCCCTCTTCAGTTTTACTGAGGATTTTCCTTTTAAAGGTGAGGGTGGTTGGGTATTATTCTCTTCATCAGAAATATCAGAGAACTTACTCATGGATTGAGTCTCTGATCTCTCTGATTTAGAGAGGGCTGCTTTCAATTTTTGTTTGTTCAGTGGGTTCTTATTAGCCTTTTTATAACTCACATTTCTGGTTGTTACCCCTGTTTTAGTTACAGGGGTTTTGGTCTTTTTGTTTGCCATTTCTTCTGCTTGTGTAGGTGGAATCAGTAAACATCTTGCATGGTGAGTAAGAGATTCACTTGGTGATATAGAAATATCTGTTTGAACTCCACATATTTTTGTGGATTCCAAAACAGAAGCAAATGTTTTTTGTTTTAATGTTGTAGTTTGAGTGACCATGTGGCGGGTTTCTGGGTATGGTATATTATTTCTAGTTTTTACCCATTGAATCTCCTTTTCTCTCTGCCATGCAGAACATTTCCTTGAGTAGGCAGGATGGGCATCTTTACAATTCACACAGCATGGAAAATTGGTGCACTCAGTACTCTCGTGACCTTCAGTTCCACACTGTGCACATGTGCTTTTCCCACGGCAGGATGTTTGTGAATGTCCAAATCGCTGGCATTTGAAGCAACGCAACAGATTTGGAACATACGGACGAAGTGGGCAGTGCAGATAACCTGCTGTGATAGCAGATGGCAAAGTTGGTTTGTTAATTAAAGGTTGAAATTAAGTGTTTAGTAGGAATGAACTTGCCATCTCGACGAATGGAGATGCGTCGAACAGCAGTAACTCCTTGATCTGAAAGGCCAATCTGAATATCTGATTCATCCTCAGGCATCAGTTCAATTTCAGATATCACACCACGTGAAGAGTTCAAACTTGTATGTGGTGTGATGGTGACTTGTATGTCTCCTAGAGACTTCATTTTCAAAAGTTTTTCTGACTGTTGAGGGGAGGCTGCTTCCACAAGTAGATCTCCTGACCTCAATTTTTGGATTTTTTTAAGGTGCCCAATGGTCGACTCGAAAAGTTTCTGGATTAAAAAGGGAGAGTGTTTCGACAAAGGTGTTTCTCCTGTAGCATGAACAATAAGGTAAGTTGGTTGATTGGACCTCCTTTTGTGGCAGTGCATTGGTAGATGTTTTAGATTTTAGAGAATCTATATTTAGAGATAATTATTCAGCTCCTAGTGACCCCTCCCACCATGGGGCCCAACAAGAGGATGCCGTCACATGGGAGATTCCCATAGACTGTCACACCAGGGTTTCCCAGGAGCTATACCCTCACAATGCAGTCAAGAAGAGCACATCTTGTCTGACGTGTCCGCCCGGTCTGCATCGATCGGTTGACTCCAAGCCGAGGTCAGGAATGACTCAACGACCAGCTGATTGACTCAAACGGAGCCTGATTTGAGCCTCCCGTTTATCCGAAGCAGGGGCCAAAGCAGTGTGTTGCCCCTCAACTACCAGGGTCCCCCTTTCCGGTATACGAGACACCACGCACAGCAAACACGTGGGTGGGCGTTCAGATCCCAGGGATGGTAAAAAAGAGTTACTAAACCATCTCTAGGAGGTCCCCTCACCACGGACAGGAACCCACATCGAGGGGCATCCTCTCTGCGATCTAACAAAATACATCCTGGGACCCATTACGAGACGCATCACAAAGAATCCCTCAAATAAACCTTTTCTAATAATAATAAACAACGCTTTTTGAAAAGTACACTTTTCAAATGTATATCAACAAAATTAAAGAAAGAACGACCTTGGAAACCGATCAAGAAATGGAAATACAAAATATAATAAGAATGTTTAGCCTAAGTAATTACCCTAGAACATTATTGGTTAAGTGGTTAGAAACTTGTAAAGACAAAAGGAAAAATATACCGTTAAATAGACAACCAATAGAAGTTAAGACTGTGTACCTAAAAATAGAATATGTTTTTGGTGTTTTTGAAAAATTAAAAAATGAATTAAAAAAACTAGATATTATTTTAGTACCAAACCACACAAGCACCATAGCAAAATTGTTAATCAGTAAACATGGTAACAATGAACATAATGATCTGGAAAAAAATAATGTAGTTTACTCATTGGATTGCAGTTGTTCACATAAAAAAAAATATGTAGGGGAAACTGGGAAAAAATTAAAGACAAGAATTAAAGAACATATATATGCCATCAAAAATAATTTGATATCATCATCAGTGGCACAACATTGCAACACTGAAGGGTGTGAAATTTTAAAAGACAGCATCAAGTGTATTATGACAGAAAACAATCAACTAAAAAGAAGACTACAGGAACACCTAGAAATTTTGAAGATACAGGAAAACATCAGAATTAATAACAACACGGGACTGAAGCTACATGAAGGGTGGATTGACATTGTTTACACTTAACCTTGAAACAGATGCTGAACAGATGTAAGAGTATAGGCACATTACGTTGTAAAATGCAGATGGTCAGTGCAGTTGACTTCACAATGGCTTATCGGATGTATTTTGTTCTGTTAAAATCTGGTTACCAATTGGTTTAATAAGAGTAAGTTCAATGTTAACTTCCCTTTTATTTATGGTTTAATATACCTAACAATATTTATTATTAATAGTGTAACCGTCTACCAGAATTTGGAAAATGTAGGAGAAACTAAGACATTTACTGGTGGAGTTAATATGTTATACCACATGGTCATTGTAATCTGATTTATACTTGATAATTTAGTTTAGTGTACGTGTTACATTGAGAAATTGTAAATGCAGTGCACTGCATACGTGGATTATCCCGGTGTATTGACAGGTTATTGGTTTTGTATTTGTTACGTTGTTACCATGTGTTTGTAAGCTGATGAGGGGGTCCTTGTAATTGAAATGCATACTTACCTAAATTTGATATGTGATTATTAAAGACCACCCTTTTTTATAAAAGTTCTGGTCCTCCTTTCAGTCGGCCTTGGTGTGATAAGCCCTGCAAAAAATGTTATACCCTATTTGTTGGGTTTTCTAATTCTGTCTAATTTTCTAAACCTTTTCTGCTGGACAATAATAAACAATACAGTGTATGGAGATCCACCATCAACAACCTCCTGTCTGCCAACATCTTAAAGGAAAATATAAAACCATGTATAATTTCCATAAGCATATTTGTTCAAAGCCCTAACCCCAACCTAAGCGATAATATGACCAACTGGAAGGAATGCTGGATCAATGTAGGAAGGTTTCCTTCAGAGTGGAAAGAGACCACTTGGCATATAATAAACAACATCACCATGACGAAAGAATTTCTTCATAAATATCATCTTCTCAGGAGTGCCAGGTGCCCGAGATGTAACAAAGATGAGAGTACCTACCATCTTTTCTACGAGTGCTCCACTGCCAACAAAATATGGACGTGGCTACACAAAATCTTTAACATTACCCTGTGCTGGAATAACATCATTTATCATACTGACCTTCCTGTAACCGATTATAATAACTACAGCCTCAACTGGATGACTGCACTTGTCAAAAAAACCATCTGGAAGGCAAGATGCACTCTTCATTTTGATAACAAAAAGTTGAACTCCACCTTATGCATCAGAAAAATAAAAGATGAGGTAAACCTTTTGATAAAAAGTGACCAATCTCTCCTCACAGGGAAAGATTTTACTACACACTACCATGGAAGGAAATAAATAACAACTATCTTTTTAAAGACGATTGGACTTAATTGTAACCTACAAGTGCTCCCACTGTGTATCTCTGGACGTACGGCAGTTAACTGGACTAAAGTCATCATTACAATATGTCGCGAACCTCAGCTAAATATGTGAAATATAGGGTATCTACCCTCGAAACTAAATTTGTACTACTCGGGCAATCTCTGCTCTAAAGCAGAATCTGTTGTGCACACTATATATCGGTCCTTTGTGTATTATGTTAAAGTTGCTACTTTTGAATGGCTTTACATCAGTACGTCTGATGTCATGTATCTGTCTTTGTCATTAATAAACTTTAATTAAAAGTAAAAATACGAGAGAGGAAAGAACACGTGAGGAAGACTCTCGAAGATTTTGGAACTAAGTGAAGACGAAACGGACTCTTCGAAAAGAAAAGAAAACGAGGATAGCGAAAACTGAGAAGGGTGTTTTCTTTCGTTCTGGAGTGTGCAGTAAAATCGATATTCCTTAGGAAAGTAATTTTCATTCGCCGTGAATCGACAGGTTCACTCAACTTACGAAAATTCACCGTGAAAAACGCTGAAATTATTGGGTACCTGATTATTTCTTTCTTTTCATCTTTACATTACAACTTCTT